AGCTGGGACTATAGAAGTAGCTGGGACGACAGGAGTAGCTGGGACTACAGGCATGGGCCACCGTGCCCGGCTAATTTTTTCTATATGTTTTTAGCTGTCCAATTAATTTCTTTCTACTTTTGGTAGAGACGGGGTCTCGCTCTTGCTCAGGCTGGTCTCCAACTCTTGAGCTCAAACAATCCTCCCGCCTCAGCCTCCCAGAGTGCTAGGATTACAGGCGTGAGCCGCCGCGCCCGGCCTAGATTTTGATTCTGTTTGATCCATAATGCCAAAATCACTTTTTGAAGATGATACCTCTGGTACATATTCTTCAGAACTCTTGTGATAATGTGGTAGTCAAAAAAGACTCATTTATACATGATAGGGATCACATTATTTTGGGATAAATATACCAAAAAACGATCTTTTTGATTGAACGAAGCCTTTTACATGAAATAGTTTATTGATGCGTTACTGTTAGAGGATGCATTCTTCCCGGTTGAAACTTTTTCTAGCGAGAGGGAAATCAAGATGAAATATCTTGGAGAACTTTGAAGGGGAAGGGAAAAGATAAAACGAAGCCATAATTTAGAGTGAGAACACAGAGAAGAATTAAGGATATGAGCCTTATTCATTTTTAGCCTTAGTTCTCTTCATTACTGCCTCTTTAGAATTATAGAATGTTAACCGGAAGAAAAATTCGTTGAACAGATGTCAAGATGGAAATACAGAAAGATTTTGACTTATTCTAGGTTACCCAGTCAGTGAGGGACAGAGCTGGAACCGAGATCCCAACCACTGTCCCACTGCAGCGAATGTATCCTGCAACCAGGAATGGGGAAGGGGGACCCCCCTAGCAGACGTAGCCCTCCTGTGGGTCACTGTGACGAATTTTCGGATGTAGTGTTTGACTCCGCATCTCGAATAAGTTCTCTTAAGATTGCAGGAGTTTCTTAATTTTGATAAATATTTGATATTTCGTTTTTCTCAAACCTGTGAGCTATAAAGCAAAATTGGACCCATTTCGGCAGCTCATTCAAATCGTCAACGGCCAGCCTTCTGTGTCTAGATCGTGACATTTACATTCGAAACCACAGATTTGCAAATCACTTCCTCTTTCATTGAGCTACCCCGGTGCTACCAGCTGCTCTGTTCAGAAGTCCAAAAAGGTAGAGGAAAAGATGAGTAATACTGAGCAAAATTTTCAGCGTTTTGGCTTCTCAACCAGTTTCTATTCATCGCCCTCACGTTTCGGTTTGGTTTACAGTTGTTCAGTGAACACGCTCAAAGGTGATCAACAGAATTTGCGAGAGTGGGATTTCTCAGCCTCCACACCATTAACATTTTGGCCAGGATAATTCTTTGTGATGAGGAGGTGTCTCGCGCATTAGTAGGATGTTTACCAGCATTCCTGGTCTCTACTCACTAGATGCCAATAGTGTCCTCCAGATCATAACAGATGTCTGCTGACTGCCTACGGCCATACCACCCTACCACCCTGAACGCGTCCGATCTCGTCTGATCTCGGAAGCTAAGGAGGGTCGGGCCTGGTTAGTCCCTGGATGGGAGACAAATGTCTCCTGACATAGCCAGAAGTTTCCAGATGGCGGAGAGGGATGTGTCAGAGTTATACCCATGTTGAGAACCACAGATTTTGAGTATTGTTGTCTTGCGGATTTCTGGCGAGAGGTCATTTCGTTGACCATTATGTGACGTTATCTTATTCTCATGTATACTTTGAGCAGGGCGCCCGTCTGCTTGGAAGACACACTTGAATCTGGAAGAGAGAAGGGATTTGTGGAACTTCTGTGTTTGCACCCGTTCTTTCTCACAAACACAGGCGATCCTCATCATTCTTAGATCCGATATTTGCAAATTCACCTTGCGAAAATTTATATAACCCTGAGATCAATACTCATGT